AGTCCCCGTCCTGTTCGTAGCTTGTGCAGGGCTCAGCAAGGGTTGTGACTGGGCAGCCACTGTCCAGGGCAGTGTGGGTGAGGGGCCCAGCGTGTGCCATGGCTGCTGACCAGGGGTTGCAGGAGTGGCCGGCTGGCTGGTGGGGCCCCGTGAGTGTTCCAGTGCCCTGGGCCCTTGCCCTTGAGCTTGGCTTACTCACTGAGAGGCTTACGGAGCACTTTCTGATCCGATGTCTTGTTTAATTTCCCTGTGAGCCAAGTGATGGAGATGACACCATCCCTGGTTTGCAGTAAGCAGAACAGAGTGAAAAGTGATTTGCTGATTTGCCAAAAGTCCTGTTTCTTACAAGTTTTAGAAGCGGAACTTGGGATAATGTTTACCCCACACACCAGTTTGGGCATTTGCGTCTCGAGAGCTGTTGCTGGTGATGAAGACTGTGGGGCTCTGGGTGCCCTCTGTCAACGTGGAGGGCCACAGTGCAGGGATGTGCCGCCTCCGTCCTGTCACGGCAGGTGTCACCAGGCGACTCCCACGCACGTGTGCAGCTCACGCCCCGGCTCTGAGCTGTCGAGTTTCTGGGGAAGTATTTCCAGAGGGAAGGCTGAGCAGAAGTTCTGGGAAAAGTGGGTCAGGAAGAACAGACGTGGGGCCTCAGAGGCCCCGGCTTAGAGGATGAGCGCCAGGTCCGCGGCGTCAGCATGGCCCCTGCTTAGCTGTGACATTGGCCCTGAGGAGAGGGAAACTCGATGGGGTTTCCAGAAGGCCGGGGGACCAAGGCGAGTGAGGAGAAAAGCAGACAGGATTCGATGTAAGTACGGCTTCTCGCGCTCAGCCCTGTGAGCTGTCACTGGCGCTTGCAGACGGGGTAGAAAGCTCGACTGCTAATCCCACTAGAAATGCTCTTTCAGGATGGCTTTTTAGCTGCATGTTTTTGTTACTTTTAAACATAGAGACGACTGCATGCACGCGCGTGCTCTTTACTGACTGTGTGAAGCATTGTCCCAGGTTCCCGCAGCTCTCCTGGCTGTCCTTAGTGATGGGCAGCACTCAGGGCTGTGAAAGGCTTTGAAACTGAGAAGTGGACAGAAAAGGTCAGTCCTCGCTTCCTGGGCCCACAGAAGCTGTTGGCTGTTGGTGAGGGTGGGGCTGAGCAGAGTGTGTGTGGAGGACGAATGGAGGCAGAGAACCAGCTGGCCATTCCCGTGTGTCCCACGGCCACCTGTGCTCTCGCTGGCTCACACGGGCGCCCTGTGAGTGGACGCAGCGACGCCGTGTGCGTGACCGCCCAGCCTGAGCCTGTCCACGAGAAGGCGGCTGAGAGGCTTGGGGGGAGCCGGGGAGCTCTGCTCCGTGTCGGCTCATTGCTGTGCTGGAGGACCACCGGGCCTCCCTCCTCTGGGCGGCCGGACCTTGCACGCAGTGTGGGAGCAGAGGCCACCGCAGAAGACTCCTTTATGTTTGACTTTAGAACCAGTTTTTAAAGTTCTAATCCATGCGTAGACAGTGAGCAAGAGGGATCTGTGAGGCATTGTGGTTTTTCTAGTCTCCGTGTTGAACGTCTCAAGGGCCTGGCGACAGACTCCTGTCTGCCAGTGGTCTGTGTGTGGACTGAGAGTCCGCAGGAGCCTGGCTCTCTTGCTAGCAGGATCAGGAATGCCCTTGCTCTTAGAAATCAACAAGACGTCGATACTGAGTCTGACCTGAGGCTCACGTGTGGGCGCTGCCGTGGGCGCTGTGACCAGGGCGGCGCCAGCTCCGCCGCTCGCTGCAGGGAGCAGGCTGCCGCGGGTGTTGCTGGTCCCGGTCACTGGAGCCGCGGAGCTTTGCGCTCAGAACGCTTTGGTTTCTGGGAAGCTCAGTCTCTGGCCCCGGCAGTTGCGGCGGTCGATGGTCGTCTGTACTCTGACGTGTGAAGAGATGTAGCTCCGACGAGGTCAGGAGTTCCCACCTGACCCTGAGACGCGAGCCTCTGTGTGGAGCACCAGCCCAGCCACAGGGCCTCTGGCTTCTTCGCGTCACCCGAGTCTGAGGCGCTGTTCTGTGAGCCCTGCGTGTAAAGAGGAGCTGAGCTGCCCAGTGCCCGTGACAGGACTCACTGTTCTTTCTTCACACTGACTTTGGGAAGATGGAACATAGCAGCTTTTTTCAAAAAAGAGATTTATCTGTTTACTTGAAAAGCAGAGTTAACAGAGAGGCAGAGGCTGAGAGAGAGAGAGAGAGAGGTCTTCCATCCGCTGGTTTACTCCCCAGATGGTTGTGCCGATCTGAAGCCAGGAGCCAGGAGCTTCCTCCGGGTCTCCCATGCGGGTGCAGGGGCCCAAGGCCTTGGCCATCTTCTGCTGCTTTCTCAGGCCATAGCCGAGAGCTGGGTCGGAAACGGAGCAGCCGGGACTTGAACCGGGGCCCACGTGGGACGCTGGCGCTGCAGGCGCAGTGTTTCCCGCTATGCCGCAGCACTGGCCCCTCCAGCAGCTTTTCATAGACTGAAGTTCCGCTGCAGTGACTCCTCCCCGGCTCTGCACGCTTGTGCTGATAAAATACAGGTGAGGGCAGCTGGAGGGCAAGGCGGACTCGCGGGCCGGGCTGTGTCCAGTCCGACGCAGCTTTGTATTCTGTTGGCACTTCTATTATTTCACACATTAACATTCATGCGTTGCAGTCCTTCGAATTTATGTGTGAAAACCAGAAACCTTTAAGGAGTCTTATTAGGACAAACTGCTTGCTACCTGCGTGCTCCCTTCCTCCAAGGAGGCCTGAGGCCGGCTCCACCGTGGCGCCTGAAAGCAAGCCTTCCTGCCGAGCTTGAGAGACGGGCGTCTTGGCCGTCCTGTGCCCCCTCCCAGCCCTGCCGTGTGGCCTCTCCTGGGGGTTCTGTGGACTGAGAGCGCTCAGGTGGGCGTGTCACAGGCTCCACGCACTTGCGCTTCCTCCCGCCAGCCGCCACTGGAGGCTTCTCTGCTGGGGAAGATGTGGCTGGGGGGCACAGGTGTCTCCCCCACCCCACACCAAGACCTCACACACTTCTAGGTGGTTTTATGAGGAGAGATGTTGGGGTTGCACTGCGCTGGAACTTGGGTAATGTCCTGATTTCTGAACGCCTTGTGCAGACAGGAAGGCTGAGACTAGAGGCTTGAGCAGCGGAGTTCGTGTGCCATCCAGCTAACATCCAGGAAAGCAAACAGCTGTTGTTAGTTAAATACTGGAACAATATTGTGTTAACCCTGGATTTTTTAAAGATTTATTTGGAAGACATAAAAAGAGAGACAAAGAGAGGAAGGAAAAGGATTAGGGGGGCCAGAGAGAGGGAGAGCAAGCAAGTGAGAGATCTCGCACCTGCTGACTCACTCCTCAAGTGGCCACACAGCCAGGTCTGGGCTGCCAACGACCTCCATCCAGGTCTCTCACGTGGGTGGTGGGGACCTAAATACTTGGGCCGTCCTCCGCTGCTTTCTCAGCCGTTAGCACAGAGCTGGATGGGAGGTGGAGCAGCTGGGACACGAGCCCATGCCCACAGGGGATGTCGTGTTGCAGGCCATGGCTTTAACCCACTGCGCCACAACGTCAGCCCTGGAAGTGAGGTCTTGAACCGGCCTCTGAAGAGGGACGTGGCACAGCTGTGTGGGCTGTGGCGGCTTACCCTACCGCACCGCGGTCCTGACCCCCCTCTGACTTTCACACAAAATAGGTGGTGGTGGATTTCTTACGTTGTATGACTGACCTAGAAAATCAAGGTCTTTGCATAAGCGCATTTGCTTATGGAGCTAATTCTATTATTAGTGGTTAAAGATGTTGGCAGTTCTGTCTTCAGCTTTGTGATACTTTCGTCATATTTGGGATGGACTTAGCCAAGACCAGGGTCAGAAATGCCGCTGTCGGGCCTGGCGTGGTGGCACAGTGGTTAAAGTGCTGGTTCAGGTCTTGGCTGCTCCAGTTGTGATCCAGCTGCCTGCTAACGTGCCTGGGAGTGCAGCAGAAGATGGCTTGGGCCCCTGCACCCATGTCGGAGATCTGGAAGAAGCTCCTGGCTCCAGCCTGGCACAGCCTTCCCATTGCAGCCATCTGGGGAGTGAATGGGCAGATGGAAAATCTCTCTCTGCCTCTCATTCTCCCTTTCTAACTCTCCTTTCAAATAAATAAATAAATCTTAAACAAGAAAGAAATACCACGTGGCTTGTGACGTTCTCTCGGGGACAGCAAGGTCCCACTGGACAGTTTGCAGGAGCACTGACCAGACTAGGGTGTGCAGGGCGTGTGCTGGGCCTGAGCCTCAGCCGGTGCCTCAGAGGACTCCAAGCCTCTGGGACGCCAGGCCTGTGCTGGTGGGAGGACTGATGGATTGCCCCTGAGTCGGAGGACCGCTGGACACTTTCTTGTGTCCTTTCAGGGGTACAATGTGAGCACTTGGGCATCTATCCACTGGTCCTGGGTCCCTGGTTACTGCTTTCGGGGTGCTGGGTGGCCACGTTGCCACTGCGGCCTGTCTCCTGGAGCAGCGACGCTGGGCTTCGAACGCTGTCTCAGGTTCTGTGGGAGGCCCAGACCTTTCACTGAAAACCTTTCTTGAGGCCCGCGCCGTGGCTCACTTGGTTAATCCTCTGCCTGCAGCACCGGCATCCCATATGGGCGCCGGGTTCTTGTCCCGGTTGCTCCTCTTCCAGTCCAGCTCTCTGCTGTGGCCTGGGAAGGCGGTAGAGGATGGCCCGAGTGCTTGGGCCCTGCACCTGCATGGGAGACCAGGAAGAAGCACCTGGCTCCTGGCTTCGGATCGGTGTAGCACCAGCTGTAGCGGCCATTTGGGGAGTGAACTAACGGAAGGAAGACCTTTCTCTCTGTCCCTCTCACTGTCCATAACTCTACTTGTCAAATAAATTAAAGAAAACCTTTCCTGACCAGTGTCTCTTCAGTCCACCACCATTTTTCAATCGTGTGTTAGCAGGCCTTGTCACAGTGTATGCAGCTGAAGAGTAAGTGTTGTTTTGTGCTGTGTTTTTCTTCTTCAGATCTCAGATTCTCTGAGGTGACAACAAGAGCACGTGCGCCAGAAGATGAGCGAACTCGACCAGTTGCGGCAGGAGGCCGAGCAGCTGAAGAACCAAATCAGAGTGCGTAGTGCCTACTGCCGGTGTCCCGTGGCCTGGGTGTGGCGGTCGGGGCCGGTGTTCCCTGTTCAGGACAGGTGGTTACAGAGTGAGGGGGCTGAGGGTGAATTTGGGTCTCACTTGGCCCAGTGAACACCAGTTATAGATCCAGACACTTGGCCTAGGACTGTCTCGGGGATTCTATTTTTCTGTGTAATTTGTTACTTGAATCTATGTGAAATGTTTCCTCAGAACTCGGAAATTTCTTTTTGTACTGTTATCTCATGGCCACTACATCAGTGTGTGCTGGCTGCCTTGCTCCCCTTGAACGCTGATTGCAACTTTTAAGTTGAGGACAGCAAAGCTGTTTAAAGATACGCGTCCTGGGCTGGTGTTGCGAGGCAGTGGGCTAACCCTGCTAGCACCATATCAGAGCTCCGGGTCTGCTTCTGGCTGCTCCCTGCCGATGGCTTGGGTAAAGCTGCGGAGGGTGGTCCAAGTGCTTGGGCCCCTGCCACCCGAGGGAGAGCCAGGTGGAGCTCCTGACTCCTGGCTTCAGCCCAGCCCAGCCTCAGCTGTTGTAGCCATTTGGGGAGGGAACCAACAGACGGAAGATCTCTCCCTGTCACTCTGTCTTTCAGATAAATTTAAAAAAAGTCTTTCTTTTTTTTTAAAGATTTATTTATTTATTTGAAAGTCAGAGTTACAGAGAGAGAGGAGAGGCAGAGAGAGAGAGAGAGAGAGAGAGAGAGAGAGAGAGAGAGGTCTTCCATCCACTGATTCACTCCCCAAGTGGCTGCAACGGCTGGATCTGTGCCAATCTGAAGCCAGGAGCATCTTCCAGGTCTCACATGCGGGTTCCGGGGCCCAGGGACTTGGGCCATCTTCTGCTGCTTTCCCAGGCCACAGCAGAGAGCTGAATCAGAAGTGGAGCAGCCAGGACTCGAACCGGCACCCATATGGGATGCTGGCACTGTAGGCGGCAGCCTTACCTGCTACACCACAGCGCTGGCCCCCCTAAAACTTTTTTAAAGATACCAAGAAGGGGCCGGCACTGTGATGTAGCAGGCCAAGCCTCCACCTGAGGTACCAGTTTCCCATATGGGTGCTGGTTTGTGTCCCGGTTGCTCCTCTTCCAATCCAGCTCTCTGCTTATGGCTTGGGACAGCAGTGGAAGATGGCCCCCAAGCGCTTGGGCCCCTGCACCCACGTGGGAGACCCAGAAGAAGCTCCTGGCTCCTGGCTTTGGGTTGGCCCAGCTCTGGCCGTTGCGACCATTTGGAGAGTGAACCAGCAGTTGGAAATCTCTCAGTTTCTGTGTCTCTTCCTCTCTCTCTGTAACTTTGCCTTTGGAATAAAATCGATAAATCTTAGGAAAAAAAAAAAAAAAAAGCCGAGCAGCAGAGCTTCCCCACAGGGCTTGGCCAGACCGCGGCTGGGAGCTCCATCTGGGTTTCCCGCGTGGGGGGCAGGGCCCTACGTTCTTGGCGATTGTCTGCCTCCCAGGCGTGCTAGCAGGGAGCTGGTCAGGAGCAGGATATGAGACTTGACCTGGCAGCTGGCTGTGGGACGTGGGCCCACACAGCGTCTGACCCCCGCACCACGACGGGCACCCACTGAGGCAGCCATTTGTGTTGACTCTGAAGGTGCTGTCTTAAACTCTAGTGTGGTTTGGACTTTTTTTTTTTTTTTTTTTTTTTTGACAGGCAGAGTTAGACAGTGAGAGAGAGAGAGAGAGACAGAGAGAAAGGTCTTCCTTCCGTTGGTTCACCCCCTAAATGGCTGCTGTGGCCGGCGCTGCGCCGATCCGAAGCCGGGACCCAGGTGCTTCCTCCTGGTTTCCCATGCGGGTGCAGGGCCCAAACACTTGGGCAACCTCCACTGCCTTCCCGGGCCACAGCAGAGAGCTGGACTGGAAGAGGAGCAACTGGGACAGAATCTGGCGCCCCGACCGGGACTAGAACCCGGGGTGCCGGCGCCGCAGGTGGAGGATTAGCCAAGTGAGCCACAGCGCCGGCCAATAGTTTCTTTATATTATTAATTCACAGATATCCCCACTGGCTTCATAAAATAAAAATTTACAGTAGGGAAGTTTGCCCCTAAAATCGGATCTCCTGGGAACACCCAGCTGCAGTGTCAGCTCACAGCAGCATGGAGACCTGTGTCTTACTGGACATCGCCCTGAGTGCCTCTGAGGGGCTGCCCACACTCCTGTTGTGAGCCTTTAAAGCTGTGTTCTCATTTTACTGCATCTAGTGTACAGAGGTCTTCAGGAAATTCATAGAATATATGTACTATAAAATCACGCCTGGGTTTCAAAATATTGTGCCCAAATTAGCTTATCTTTCAGTTCCATTTTTCTGTTGATTTTTGAAGTTCTCTTTTACATATTGCTTTTTTATTTTTATTTTTTAAGATTTATTTATTTATGTGAAAGGCAGGGTTACAAGAGGCAGAGAGAGAGAGAGAGAGGTCTTCTATCCGCTGATTCACTCCCCAAATGGCTCCAACGGCCGAAGCTGGGCTGATGCAAAGCCAGGAGCCAGGAGCTTCTTCCAGGTCTCCCACATGGGTGCAGGGGCCCAGCAGAGAGCTGGATCGGGAGTGGAACAGCCGAACAGCCAGAACTCAAACCCACGTCTACGTGGGATCTGACACTGCAGGTGGTGGCTTTACCTGCTACACCATAGCGCCAGCTCCCTATATCTCCCTATTTATAAAAATATATGTTCATTTAAGATTCCACACTTGTCTAGTTCCTTGTTCACTTGATGTTAGTGATGGCGTGTCCTTCCGCAGAGTGTACCTGCATTTCGTCGTTTCGTAGATAAGAAAGCAGATAGAGCCAGGAAGAAGTCAGAAGGTTTCATCTGAATCTGCAGTCTGATCAGACGCCTTGCTCTTTTCTGTGAAATTTAAATCCAACAAAGTAATTATTGTCCCGAAGAGATTTTTGGGCTGGTCATTAGGTCCTTGCTGGACCGCTCTCCCTGGGCGCCAGCCTCCCGTCCTCCCTGGGTCAGCTGTGCAGGCGCTGAGCCAGCGTGGTTGCTCAGAAGCGCCGAAGGCCAGGGCAGCCCCGCGCCCAGGGGCCCTGCCCTGGTGCCGTCCCCGTGCCGGGTTCCACGGTCGCTGTGTGTGAGTGGCCGAGTGCGGTGGATGGTGGGTGTTGGGGGGGGGTGCTTTCCTTCCACAGTGATGCTGTGAGGCCCCAGGTGGCCCCTGCCTGGACACCGCTCACCTCTCTTGTGTTGCTTCCTAGGATGCTAGGAAAGCATGTGCAGATGCAACGCTCTCTCAGGTAAGAGCCGGTGTGCGGCCTGGGCCCTCCGCAGTGAGCTCTGCCCGTGCAGCTGCCAGACCACTGCGGGGCACTGTCTTGCGGAGCCGTCCAGACGTGGGAGGAGACAGGGGTTCTGTGTTCGCGTCGTCTCTTCAGCCCGCGTAGTGCTCCCTGCCAGGGCAGAAGACTGCTGTCTCAGTCAGGCGGCGTGTCGCTGCCTTCGTGGCCAGTCGGTCCAAGAACTGGACTCCGCAGGCCGGCCTGACAGCTCCCCAGACACTTGAACGGCAGCTCCATGGCTCCTTGTGTGCCCAAAAGGATCAAAAGCCGGCGTTCAAGCGGGTGTTCAGTAGGATACGCACACCGAAGCCCGTGGGTGTCTGAAGCCTCGTGTACACAGACCCTACAGAGGGCATCGCTGAGGACTAATAATGGAATATCATAAAAACAACACTGCAGGAAATCTGTGCATATGATCTGTCTCAAAAAATTAATCTTCCTGTACTCACACTTGTGACAACAACGCCTGCGCGAGGAGATGCAGTGAGGCAGACGACACGGGGCTGGGACGCAGCTTGGGTGACCACAGTGGGCACAGCGCGGTCCCACGGGCCGAGGGCTGACCACACCCCAGACAGGACCAGCAGGCCGGAGTGGATGTCATCCTCCTGCTCAGACGGCTCACAACTTAAACTTAGGAATTGTCCGTATCTGAAATGTCCTATGTAATAGTTTCAGACTGCGATTGACCACAGGAAACTGAGCCATGCATAGCGAAACCAGTTAAAGGAGGATGGCTGTACAGTGTTCATATCGCCGCTCACACAGCCAAGGGAGGAGACCATCCAGCTCTCCATAAGTGGATGAGCGTACAAACGTGTGGTGGTGTGTTTGCACGGTGGGATATTACTCAGCCGTGAAAGGGAATGCAGCCACGTGTAGCTCTGTGTGTATGAAATACCCAGAATGGTTAAGTTAAAGACAGGAGATTGGTGGCTGCAGGGATCGTGGGGGCGAGAGGAGGAGGTGGCCGCTGGGTGGGTGGGGAGGCGAGCAGTGGTGAGGGCTGCACAGCATGCCCTGAGTGGGCACTGTAACAGAGTTTTAAAAAGTTAAAGAATCGGACAGAATAGTGAAAGAAAAGTTAGATTCACCCTCTGCAGGTGACTTGGTTCATGAGGCGATCCAGACACTGAAGGGGATGCGCTGTAAGAAGGAATTCTTGCAGCGTAGAATCACAGCTGTCAGTTCTCGGGCGCACTGTGGACTGTCCATTTTTTAAGACTCATTGTTGGGTGTGCTTTGCCCATTTGCCAACCTGGAGGCATTGCTGTCGGTGTCTGCCCTGTGGGGTGGGTGCTGGCGTGCAGACACCGATGCTGAGTGTTGTCCAGGCCCACACGTGGCCTGAGGTAGGAGCAGAGCACTAGCTGCTGGAGGCTGTGCCCGTGGTGGCCCCGGGCCCTGAGACAGATGGGCGGAGCTGGAGGCTGTGCCCGTGGTGGCCCCGGGCCCTGAGACAGAGGCGGAGCCGGGCTGCCGTGTGTGTGCACGCCAGGGGGACAGGTGTGTCCTCACGCCCCGTGGAAACGGCAGCCCTGTTCAGAGTCCCGAGGGCCCTGGTGCCCCTGAAGAGCTGGAGGATGGCTGGGCCCTGCTGGGTGGGTGAGGAGGAGGGCTCTGGGAAGATCGTGTGGTCACAGATGTTAACCTCAGGAACCTTCGTGTTTAAGATCACAAACAACATCGACCCGGTGGGGAGGATCCAGATGCGCACCAGGAGAACGCTGAGGGGGCACCTGGCGAAGATTTACGCCATGCACTGGGGCACGGACTCCAGGTAGGCACAGGCCACGGCGGCAGCCCGTGCCGGCTACGTCACCGAGGCTCTCTTGTCTGGGAAGGTCGCCCGGACTCATTTGCTGTACTTTGTAGCGAGCAACACGAGGAGGAGGAGTCAGATGAGCAGGCCAGGCGTGGCCTGTGCGCGGGTCTGCGCTCACCTGGCCCACTCCACTCTGCTGTTTCCTCTCCGCTCCAGGCTGGCTTGTGTGGCTCAGGTTCTCCTCCCTGGAAAACCCCACCTTCCCTCCGCCCCGCTGTGCTCTGCCGTGGCCTTGGGAAGTGGCCTTCCTCTGTCCCTGTGTTCTGCACTGCGCGGCCTGTTCTGGTGGCTGCTGGCCCTCCTGTGATTTCAGCGCCTGCTCCGGGCTGCGGGAGGCCCAGAGAGAGAGCCTGAGAGCAGCAGCCTGTGGGGTGGTGCTGTGCCTGGGTTTCTGTGGTTGGGGCCCCCAGCAGGTGCATGGGTGTGTGTGTTTGCTGCGGCCATCACCCCTCACCCGGTCTTTGTGCCTCTCTGTGGTGTGTTCATTGTCCCAGGCACAGCCCCTCGAGGCTCCTGTTCTTCCTCTTCCTGGGATTCTTAACCTCCCGTCCACTCCCCTGTCCCCTGCTCACCCTCTGCTCTGCCTCCACCCTGCCTCTGCCCACACCTGCCTTGGGCTGTGTGCCTTCCCTGTGGGCCACATCTGTTAAGCTCTCTTTTCCTGTTGTTTTAGAGGTTCCCAAGTCCATCTCGTACGTTTTCTTCCCAAATAAAGAAGGTGCTTTTGATTTGTGGACTGTAGCCTGCTCTTCGAAGTCTGACATGCGATTCTTGACATGCCTGCCTTTGAGAAGCAGCTTTTTCCTCCTTGAGTTGTCAGAGTGGAATTTTCTGCTTGGCTTTCTCTTTTTCGTGGAAGTGCTTTGGAGTGTAAAGGCTGGAGAACAAAAGATTCTATCTTTAGTTTGTTCTATACAGTATCCCATACAATTTCATATGCAAATGACAGTGTGAGCGTTTTAATGACGGCTGTAGTCAGAAAGCATAAAAAAGGAAAGGGGAGGAGGGGAGGGCGATGTTCAGAGGGCACAGACCGCCAGCTGGGAGACGGCTGCGTGTGCAGGGCTCCCTCCGGGCAGCAGTTCAGGACTGTTGAATCTCCAGGACTGCTCGGAAACTTGTATTTACTTGAAACGCAGCAAGAGAGACAGAGCTCTCATCTGTTGGTTTACTCCCCAAATGCCTGCAAGGATCTGGGCTGGGCCACAGCCATCGGCCGGGAACTCAGCCCAGGCCCCCGTGTGAGCGGCCTGAAACCCGTTAGATGAGCCGTCAGCACTGCCCAGGGGCTGCGCTGGTGGGAAACTGGGGTCAGGAGCCAGGGCCTCGCAGCTCAGCTCACAGAGTAAATGCTAAATGTTCTCACCACAAAAAACAAAAGGGTATGGGGTGGCGGGTGTGTTAACCAGCTTGATTCAACCATCCCATAATATAAACATACATCAGAACATCACATTGTATCCCATACATACATGCAATTATTCATCAATTAAAAATACAATATATTCAAAATAAATGCGTAAATCAGCAAAACTGTGTTGTGCAAACTTAGCTCTTTCAATATTTTTTGATGATGACTTTATTTTTTTAGTTACTTGTTTATTTGAAAGGCAAAGTTAGAGGCAGAGGCAGAGAGAGAGGGAGGTCTTCCATCCGCTGGTTCATTCCCCAGATGGTCGCAGTGGCTGGAGCTGTGCCAACCTGAAGCCAGGTGCTTCTTCCAGGTCTCCCACGTGGGTGCAGGGGTCCAAGGACTTGGGCCGTCCTCCACTGCTTTCCCAGGCTACAGCAGGGAGCTGGATCAGAGTGGAGCAGCCGGGACTCGAACCGGCGCCCATGTGGGATGCGGCACTGCAGCGGCTTTACCCGCTGCTCCACAGCGCCAGCCCCTGAGAAGTGGGCTTACACTTGCTCTTTGAGCTGGGCAGTCGGATTCCATGCTGCATGACCACAAAAGAAAACCAGGAGGACCTGTGCTGTCCAGAGTATCTTAGGATCATTTGTTTTATTTATTTATTTTTTTTAAAGATTATTTGATAGACATAGAGGGGCCGGCGCCGTGGCTCAATAGGCTAATCCTCTGCCTGCGGCGCTGGCACACCGGGTACACCAGGTTCTAGTCCCGGTCGGGACGCCGGATTCTGTCCTGGTTGCCCTTCTTCTAGGCCAGCTCTCTGCTGTGGCCCGGGAGGGCAGTGGAGGATGGCCCAAGTGCTTGGGCCCTGCACCCCATGGGAGACCAGGAGAAGCACCTGGCTCCTGGCTTCGGATCAGCGTGGTGCGCCGGCCGCAGCAGCCATTGGAGGGTGAACCAACGGAAAAGGAAGACCTTTCTCTGTCTCTCTCTCTCACTGTCTACTCTGCCTGTCAGAAATTAAAAGAAAAAAGAAAAAAAGACATAGAGGTACAGTCAGAGAGGGAGAGGTCTTCCATCCACTGGTTCACTCCCCAAATGGCTGCAACGGCCAGAGCAGAGCCAGTCGGAAGTTAGGAGCCAGGAGCTTCGTCCGGGCCTCCCAAGTGGGTGCTGGGGCCCAAGCACCTGGGCCGTCTTCCACTGCCTTCCCAGGTGCATTAGCAGGGAGCTGGGTGGGAACTGGAGCCGCTGGGACTGAGACTGTCGCCACATGGGATGCTGGCGCTGCGGGCCGTAGCGCTGGCCCCAGATTATTTGTTTTAAAGAGCTGTTTTCTGGGTAGGTCAGTGGCTGTGTATTTAAAGCCTAAAATAGTTGTTTTGGAGTTTTGGGGATGTGTATTTTCCTGAAGTCACCTTATTCCTGCCACCATAAACTAAGGTTGTCACACAGACTCTCACACTTTTTCATGGCTTGGGCTGTCATTTATGAATTGTGAACGCTTTGGCTTCTGACTGTGGCAGGCCAACAGTGTTTCTTTCAAAACCACACTGGGGGCCTGTGACACGTGCTTGTGTGCACACACATGTACGAGTGTGTGGTAGGAGTGGATCAACAATACGTTCGGGACTGGTGCTGTGCTGAAGTAGGCTAAGCCTCTGTCTGCAGTGCCAGCATATATGGAGCGCCGACTCACGTCCCAGCTCTTCCTCTTGCGATCCAGCTCCCTGCTGTGGCCTGGGAAAGCAGTGGAAGATGGCCCAGGTGCGTGGGCCCTGCACCCACGTGGGACACCCGGAAGAAGCTCCTGGCTTCAGATCGGCCCAGCTTTGGCTATTGCAGCCCTTTGGGGAGTGAACCAGCAGATGGAAGATCTCTCTCTGTTTCCCACTCTCAAATATAGCTCTCAAATAAATACACAAGTCTTTAAAAAAAAGAAAGAAAGAAAAATTTATACTATAATCTGATTCTTTAAAAAAGAAAGAAAAATTTATACTATAATCTGATTCTTTAAAAAAAAAAAGTTATTTACTCCACACGCAGAGCGACAGAGCCTTCCTTCCACTGGCTCACCCTCAGATGCCTGCAACCCCCTGGGCCCTTGTCTGGGTCCCTCCTGTGGGTGACAGGGCCCCAAGCACTGCTGACTCCCCCGGTGCACGGCAGGAAGACGGGTGGGAACTGAAGCCGGGAGGTGAGCTCGGCCTCACAGGGTGGGAGGCAGGTGTCCCCGTGCCCACCCTTGGCTCTGATTTTCAGTGGCACTTCAGGTGCCCTCTCCGTCACATGGGTCCGTGCCTGGGCTGGAACGCAGCGTGTGTGGGGTGCAGGGCCCCAGGCGTCTGGGCCGTGGCCGCTCCTCAGTGCCCTGGAGCCCGCTGGCTTCCTTCTCTGTGTTCTGTGTGGTGGCCTCAGGGAACTGCCGTGGGACAGGCAGGGCTAAGGAGGCAGAGTGAAGCCAGGTCCTGACGGGAGGAGGTGCTCCTTCACCTTCCGGGGAATTAGCAGCTTACTCCCCCACTCTGACGACTCAGCGCTTGCTGAGCCGCGTGACCGCGAGCTCTCTGAAGGTGACCCTGCCTGGAGGAGGAGCTGCTCTGCGTGGGCTTGGGTTCTGCCTCAGGCTTCCGACGGCTGGACGAGGAGAGCAGCAGGGGGGTGTCTCACCCACAGGGCTGTTGATGACGGCTAAGAATTGCACCTGAGGCTGCCACGCGCGACACTGGCATCCCTCGGGGCGCCAGTTCGTGTCCCAGCTATTCCACTTCCAACCCAGCATGGGAGACCTGGAAGATGCTCCTGGCTTCAGGCTGGCCTGTCCTTGGCTGTTGCAGCCATCTGGGGAGTGGACCAGTGGATGGAAGGTCTCTCTGTCTCTGTTTCTCACCCCCCCCCCCCGACTTTCAAATAAGTAATAGATTTTTAGAAAAAAGAATCCATCTGGAAGATGAGGAGCGACGGGAGCGCGCATGTCGCGTGTTCTGGGAAGGAATTACGCAGCGAAGCACTGAAGAGGCTTCTGTTCCGGCCGCACGCACTGTTGGGCTTCAAAGCAGAGTTCGGTTACAGTTGCCGACATAATCAGGATGACTTGAGTGAGGCTTACCCTCAGCTTCTGACCTGCGTCAGGAAGCCACGTGCGCTGTCGTGAGCCGGTTCCAGTCTGTCACGTGTCACTGACACGTGTCTGCTGGAGACAGCAGGGAACGTTCCGGCCCGGTTCCTCCTTGGAACAGCACGTTCCGTAGGCAGCCGGGCTTCGAGAGTGGTTCCCAGGCCGTGCTAGCTCTCAGCTGTTGGAGGGTTTCATGCCTGTGTGGCCTGGTGGTTTAGTGCTGCGTCTCACATCTGAGTGCCTGGTTTGACCACAGCGCTGGTTCACTGTGTCTCAGCCTCTCAGATTGGCTGCTGGTCGTCTCCCCTTCAGCGGGACACAGCACCTTTCCCGGCACGCAGATCCCAGACGCAGCCCGTGTCCATGGCCGCTGTGTCTCCTGCCAGGCAGCACGCACGCGTCGCTGTCGGTGTGCCAGCTGGGTGCTGAGCGCCGCAGCTGCTAGGAGACCTGGGTTCCAGCTGAAGCTCGGTTGGAGAAACGTCTTGTTGCTCTTGGGTGAGAAGTGTTTTTGCAAACCTGGAAGGTCTGAAGCTTTTTATTCCCACATAGACTGGCTTTCTCTTTGTGATGGAACAGAAAGCTTCCTATTTTGTACAATCTCTGGCTCTTTAAAGAGCTCTGTGTGTGCAGCGTGGTCTATAGCGGAGGGAGACGACGCAGAGCGGTTAGGAGCCGCGGCAGCCTGCCGTGCTCGGCGGGGCAGAGGCTGCGTGTCCTGGTCTGTGCTGGCGCTGAGGGCCGAGTGCTGTCTGTACTGCGGTCGGCGAGGTCATCGCAGCTGTGCTTGCGAAGTTGTCCTGTGTCCTGTCTCCGTGTTCCTCCTGCCTGGGATCTCCGGCTGTGCAGGGCTGATTTGCCTGTCTGTCTTCCCTGCAGGCTGCTCGTCAGTGCCTCACAGGACGGCAAGCTCATCATCTGGGACAGCTACACCACAAACAAGGTGGGTAAGCAGGCTGGCGTTCGCAGGGAGCGCAGGGTAGTGAGGAAGGCACAGCAAGGCGTTTGGTTTGGTTCTATTTCATTGAGAGGTGTGGCGACACGGAGAGGGAGACCGATAGAGGTCTCCTGTCTGCTGGGGCGCTCCCCAGGGGTCTGCAGTGGCTGGGGCTGGGCAGTGGCCAGAGCCACGAGTCAGGGAGTTAATCCAGTCTGCAGTGTGGGTGGCAGTAACCCAGTTACTTGAGCCATCACCACACATCCTGGGGTCTGCCTGAGCAGGAAGCTGAGCCAGGAGTGGAGCTGGCTTTGAGCCCAGGTATTCTGATGTGGGTTGCAGGCCTCACAACCACTGGGCAGACACCTGCTTGCAAGCTGTGTTTGTGGTGAGGTCATTTAGGGAGACAGAAGCCGTGTGGCATGCTAGCTTCATCTGGACAGGGCTCAGTCATGCTGCGGGGTGCTGGGCCTTCCCCAAGCAGGTAGGAGGTGAGCACTCCGGTGTAGCTCCGTCTCTGAGTCTGTGTGTTTTATTTAGAAAATGCAGAAATACAGCCTTTCATTTAGTTACCCATTTTTACAAGAGGTTCTCTAAAAGGCATTATACTTTGAAGTATAAATCAAATTCTTTTAAAATTTAATCCAAGGTTGTTTGTATTAAAAAGTATTGTAATTTGCCTAAATATGTATGTAAAAATCTAGCCCAGTTATATTTTACTAAAGAATGTCATGTATATAACCGGTTGCAGTAATTCCTCCAGATCTGTCTGCACCTAAGGAGGTGTGTGACAGTGTGGGTTATGATAATTTCCAGTGACAATGCGCTGTTGTTTTTGGTGAGTTCACGCCGTGTGGACAGGTGGTGAAGTGCCCTCCATGTAGTCTGTGGCTGCCACACGTTAGCACCGCAGCGCCGTGGCTGGCGGTGCCACAGCCACACCTGCAAACCGCTCTGAGTCACCGTGGCCCTGCTTTGCTGTCTCCTGTGCACTGAGAGTTGAAGACCGAGGGGAAGTCGGTGTCCCTGGTTATGCTTTTGAGCTGGAAGATGAGAGTCCCACCGGTGTCCTGCCTGCAGGTGCACGCCATCCCTCTGCGCTCCTCCTGGGTCATGACCTGTGCATACGCCCCCTCTGGGAACTACGTGGCCTGCGGTGGGCTGGACAACATCTGCTCCATTTACAACCTGAAGACGCGCGAAGGGAACGTCCGCGTGAGTCGGGAGCTGGCCGGACACACAGGTGCGCTTCCTCCCGACCCCTTCCCGGGCAGCGGCTCTCCAGCATGTAGCACACTCTGAACTCCCGCCTCTGTCAGCTACTGCTTAGCGAGGTTATTTCAAAGAAAAGTTGGGGTAGCAGCCAGAGGTTTTCTGAAGAAATTTCAGTGACTGTTGCCCCCGTCACGGGGTGTCCGGCTCCTCTGCTCACTCCCTCCAGTTGTTCCGGGTCGGCAGATGCGGTCCAGTCCCGACTCTGACTCCACACCTCTCCGCCGGGAGCCCCTTCCCCAGATGTCCCGTTTCAAGCACACGTGTGTGCTGGGTCCACCCCGGCAAGCGTCCCTGTGCGGGGAGGCGGCTCGCGCTGTGTTGGTCCTGGCTGTGTAATGTTGGGTATGCGGCATATGGAAAATGGAGCTGAAAGATGGGCTTATTTTGGTGCCAGCATATTTTCACGTTGTGTGGATGAGGGTCTTCGCCCAGTTCACGGAAAGTGCGTATTTTCGGGTCGTGTGGATGAGGGTCTTCGCCCAGTTCATGGAAAGTGCGTGTTGTCAGAAAACTGCACCAGTTTGAAAAGTTTCTTGCATGTGTTATTTTGCCACGATTCAGCTTTCAGTGGAACTAACGAGCAAAGCAAGTGCCTGGCCTAGCACCTCACTTCCGGGCCTTGCCGTATTTTCCATGCTCACAGATTCTGTCCCTTTAGTATTCTCTTGGCAACACCATGCCAGGCTTACCTGTTCCACAAATGCAACCAAAGACGTCAAAATCAGTGACTAAATCCTATCGCTGCCGACCCCCGCTGGTTTGGGCCAGGTGCGGGTCGTTGCTGCTGTTCCCTTCTCGCCGTCTGTCTGCTTTGCAGTTCCCTTCTCAATATTCTGGCTTCTTACGGGAGAAGCCGAAGTCACTGGTTCTAGAACTTGTTCCTTCTCAAACAGGCACTGAGGGTAACTGCCCACATTCCGATACATCGTGTGCGGATCGTGGCTGCATGTGAAGCATTGTTCAAGCCGTCAGTGGTTTCGTTTTCAAGTATCTGAATTCTCCCGGTGCACTTCTTACTGCTTCCTGACTAGAGGTCTGTGTCCTGTCTGTCGGTTGTTTTACATCTGGGACGTGTTCCTAGTGAAGATGCTGTGTGGGCGTGTGGACAGGTGGACCCTGGATGTTGGCCATGGGGTCTGTCCACAAGTGTGTGTCAGTCACACACTCAGAGTTAATCTGAGAAGTTAGGAAAAATTTAGTCTTTCACATTTTCTCAAGTGTTTACTATTTTAGTGTTCTCTGTTCCTCCCTAGGGACGTGAGTTTTCTCCTCGCTTCCCGTCATCCTGAAGAGCTTCCTTCAGCCTTTATTTTTTTTTTTTCAAAAGATTTTATTTATATATTTGAGAGGTAGAGTTACAGATAGAGAGACAGAGAGAGAGGTCTTCCATCTGCTGGTTCACTCCCCACATGGCTGCAACAGCCAGAGCTATGCTGATCCAAAGCCAGGAGCCAGGTGCTTCTTCCTGGTCTCCCTCATGGGTGCAGGGGCCCAAGCACTCCTTCTACTGCTTTCCCAGGCCAGAGCAGAGAGCTGGGTTGAAGACAGCAGCCAGAACTCGAACTGGTGCCCACATGGGATGCCAGTAGTACAGGCCAGCGCTTTAACCCACTGCGCCACAGCATAGGCCCCGTAGCTTTTTCTTAATACGCCCATTTTTGTGAGCTTTTTGAAAACCTCTTATGCGTAGATTTCAAATGTTTTTTTAACCAAAATAAGTGCATTCTAATAATTTTTTTCTTGCTATTTGTGAGGCAGAGAGAGTTCCCATCTGCTGGTTTTCACCCCAAAATGCCCACAGTGGCCAGGATTGGCTGGGGGCCAAAGCAGGCAGCCAGGACCTCCATCCAAGGTTCCCACGTGGTGGCAGGAACCCATTTGAGCCATCACTGCTGCCTTCCAATGTTTACAGGAGTCAGGAGCTGGGTGCAGGGAGCCCCGTGCCCCGTTGGGGGGGATACAGGTGTCTCGCCCACCAGACTAACCATGTGTGCCTGAAATTTCCTTTTAATTCCATTTTCTGTGAACTTTTTGAAGTTCCCTCATATACTGTAATAAAAGTTACTTAAAGCTTGCTCATTGAGTCTTTCTGGAATCTTGTCTTTTTCCAAGGTGGAGAGACGTTAAGCCACGTGTTCCATGTGTTTTTCTGGCCTCCTGTGGCTTTGCGGGTTCTCTCCCGCCACCCCTTCCTCAGATTTGCTCATTTGTATTTCTATTCAGGTCTGCTTGATGTCTCATCTCTGTCAACTCCCAGCTGTCCAGCAAATTTTTTATGTTGGATGCTCTTTTTTTTTTCAGTACTAGAATCTCTTTTTGATTTTATTTAAGACTAGTTTGGGGCAGGCGTTTGGCATAGTGGGTTAGCTGTTTCTTGAAACTGCCACATCCTGTATCAGAGTGCTGTGTGTGTGTGTGTGTGTGTGTTTAACATTTTATTTATTTGAGAGGTAGAGTTACACAGGGAGAGACAGAAGGGTCTTCCTTCTTTTGGTTCACTCCCCAAATGGCCGCAATGGCTGGAGCTGCACCAGTCTGAAGCCAGGAGCCACGAGCTTCTTCCCAGTCTCCCACATGGGTGCAGGGGTCCAAGCACTTGGGCCATCTTCTACTGCTTTCCCAGGCCACAGCAGAGAGGTTGATTGGAAGAGGAGCAGTTCGGACTAGATCCGGCGCCCATATGGGATCCCAGCACCACAGGCGGAGGATTAAGCTACTGAGCCACAGTGCTGGCCCTGAGTGCTGGGGTTTGAGTCCCAGATCCACTTCCTATTCCAGATCCTGACAACGTGCACCCTGGAAAGCACCAAGTGGTGACTAAAGTCCTTGGTCCCTGCCCTCCACTGGGGACGCCCATGTCGAATGCCAGCCTCCTGGCTTTGACGCCACCCACCCCAGCTGTTGTGGGCATTGGAGGAGTGAGCCAACAGAGGGAGGATTTCTGTGTCTCTGTCTCTTATCTTTGAATAAAGTGAGAAATAAAAGCCTTTTTAATTTTTCTGTTGCGATTTCTTATGTTTTTGTTGATACTGAGGTGTTCCTTTGCTTCCGTGAGCACAGCTACAGTAGCTGCTGTCGGCTCGGCTTCTGCCGACCTGGAGCAGTACGCCTGGGAAGGGCCTCCTCGCGCCCTCTGCCTCCCGGTGAGCGGAGGGATGCAGAGGAAGCAAGAAGTTGTCAGCTCATTCCAGCATCTCGTCTTGAGTTGGTCTTTGGGGTGACATTTTGCCACTTTTTCCCATCCTCCCGGGAGGACAGGGATTGCATTAGCTGAGCCATCCCTCTGCCCTCCAGGCCTGCATTAGCAGGAAGCTGGAGTCGGGAACTGGAGTAGGAATCAAACCCAGACGTTCCGACGTGGGATGCAGGCATCCTAGCTGGCATCTTAAACATTTAAAAACGTATTTTTATGTATTTGAAAGGCAGTGGGAGAGGCAGAGAGAGAAAGATCTTTCACCCACTGGTTTATCCCCTGAATGGCCACTCCAGGGTGGAGGTGCCAGGAGCTGCATCCTGGTCTCCTGCGTGGCTGGCAGGGGCCCAGGTGCCTGTGCCACCTTCCTCCCTTCCCAGCTCACGGAAGCCAGGTCAGAAGTGGGCAGCCAGGAGTCAGGTCAGCACCATTCGGGACGCGGGATGCCGGTGCTCACGTGGTTTCCTCCTGCGGCGAGAAGCAGGACGCCGTGCGTGTTGGGGAAGGACGGGATGCAGAGGAAGCCGCTGCCCTGTGGAGCACCCCAGCAGTCACCACTGAGCAACTCATTTCTGTGGCTGCTGCCTCGGCACCCCTACCCCACGCTGCTGCAGTCACAGACGGCCTCGGGCCTTTGCCGTGCCTCCCCCTTCCCTCGGCCTCCCTCCCAGATACAGCAAAGAAGGAGTTTCCCTTCCCTGGGCCCAGAGGGCTCTCAGGCCAGCTGGGAATCGTTGGCACTCCTTCGCTGGCGTGACGTTTTCCACAGTTGCGCTGTCGGCCTTGCGCGCTCTCTGGCGTTTCCAGCTGGAGACTGCAGGCTGTTCGGTCGTCTCTTCCTTTCCTGCCCACCCGTGTCCCAGCTCCTCTGCGCCCCCCCCCCCCCCCCCCGCAGGTCCTGCTGACAGCTCTCGTCTTGTGTGCAGCCCAGGTGCTCTGACATCTGTCAAGTCTGACTCCCTCCCAGGGGCAGTGCCGGCGCTCCTTGGCCTGCTTGCGGATGCCCGGTGGCTTCCCCAGCTGGGGTCTCCTCCTCGCTCCTCAGCAGATGGGGCTGCGCTCCCAGGTGCAGGCCAGAGCGTGATCTCAGTGTGCATTCAGTGTGGATGTTTTGCAAGAGGACTCTGAGTCTCTTTTCTGTTGTTTTTCACCTGCGATTCCACCCAGAACTACGGTGTCACCTTTAAGAAGTTTGGAAAGTTCCGTCGTGAGGTTTGCCAGCCTGGGGTGTGCAGGCATGTGCAGATCGCGCCACTTTCTGTCTCCCTGCAGCGAAGGCCCCTGTAGGTGGACGGTTCTGAAGCCCACACTTGTGTTCTTGGGACGAGTGGCCTGAGGGACTGCCTGGCGCCATGCTTCCAGGACAGCAGCCCCCTGCACAGAGGGGTGTGTGTGTGTGTGCGCGCGTGTACGCACAGCCCCCCGCACACGGGTGTGAGTGTGCGCACATGCAGCCCCCTGCACATGGGTGTGAGTGTGTGAGTGTGCGCACATGCAGCCCCCCTGCACACGGGTGTGAGTGTGTGTGCACATGCAGCCCCCTGCACACGGGTGTGAGTGTGTGTGCACATGCAGCCCCCTGCACACGGGTGTGAGTGTGTGTGCACATGCAGCCCCCTGCACACGGGTGTGAGTGTGTGCGCACATGCAGCCCCCCGCACACGGGTGTGAGTGTGTGCGCACATGCAGCCCCCTGCACACGGGTGTGAGTGTGTGTGTGCGCGTGCATGCACTCTTGGGTGGTTTTCTTTGTCCCAGACCTGGTGACTCAGCTTCCTAGGTGGCCCTGCTACCTCCTAGGAAGGCACCTTCCTGCCCCCTCTGCTCCCCACGCTGCCTCCCTTCAAGCCTCGTCCCTGCAGCTGGTGGCCCCACGAGGCTCGGGCCTCCATGTGTGTGCAGGCACCGGTGCTCCTGCTGCACACCTGCTTTTCTGTGTGGTGTGCGCCTGCCCTGCGCCTCTGCAGTCCCGGAAGGCAGCAGCACGGCCTTTCACCGGGGCGGGGAAGGGCCACTTCCCACCTGAGGTGCATGTTCAGTGCCCCGGGGCACCAGGCGTCAGGGTGGACAGACAGCTCTGCACCTCTCCACAGTGGACACAGGGAGGTGGGGCTTGGGAACAAACCCTCAGAAGCCTCCTGCTGCGAGTGGAGCCTGGAGCCCCTGTGCCTCGCCACCACCTGCCACTGGCCAAGAGGCCCCTGTGGGAAGCCCGGGGAGAAGCTGGGCTCTGCACCCTGGCTGCTGCCTGCCACCCCAGGCCACGCTGGGGCCTTTGCTCCCTGGGAGGACAGCTTTTCTGGAACTGTGCAGCACGATGGTCCCCCACCCCTCGAGTACCCGCATGTCGAGTCCCCTCCCTGGTGTCATTAGAAGCAGCGTTTGTCTGTTTGAAAGCTCTCACCACAGAGTACACAGGGACACCAGAGCAGCCTTCCCAGCCACTCCGCGCCGCACACCTGCTTCACGTGCCTGACGGCCCCGGGCCACACGTGTGCTGCGGTGCCGCTTCTGGTCTTGATGTGACGTGGCTCGCAGGCCGGCAGTGCCCGTGCTGTTTGAGGACTACTCCGGAGACCCTCAGGAGTCTCGTGGTTGGCTGCTGCGGGGGAGGGTGTGGTCCCGAGACCCTCAGGAGTCTCGTGGTTGGCTGCTGCGGGGGAGGGTGTGGTCCGGAGAGCCTCAGGAGTCTTGTGGTTGGCTGCTGCGGGGGAGGGTGTGGTCCGGAGACCCTCAGGAGTCTCGTGGTTGGCTGCTGCGGGGGAGGGTGTAGTCCCGAGACCCTCAGGAGTCTCGTGGTTGGCTGCTGCGGGGGAGGGTGTGGTCCGGAGAGCCTCAGGAGTCTCGTGGTTGGCTGCTGCGGGGGAGGGTGTGGTCCGGAGAGCCTCAGGAGTCTTGTGGTTGGCTGCTGCGGGGGAGGGTGTGGTCCGGAGACCCTCAGGAGTCTCGTGGTTGGCTGCTGCGGGGGAGGGTGTGGTCCCGAGACCCTCAGGAGTCTCGTGGTTGGCTGCTGCGGGGGAGGGTGTGGTCCGGAGAGCCCAGGCCTCCTTCACCTGAGCTGTGGCTCCTGGGTGAGAAGTTGGTGGCCCTGAGGCCAGCATCCTGAGGTCACAGCTCTTTCCTGCCCTTCTGCGCTCCCCCGTTAAGGATGACACTGTGAGTGACGTCCGAATGGGAGCCTCCTACCCTGGCATGGGGATGCGGGGATTGGTCCCGGAAAGAACTGACAGCTGTGCTGACGAATGGGGAGGAGTGAGCCGGGCGCAGGGCTGCGCGGGCTGCAGAGGGTGCTGGCTCGCCGCCGGCCTGGTGTTGCACGCGTGCTTTCGAGGCACGTAGCTGCTGTCTAGAGATCACCCCTCCACGTGTCGGTTCTCTGTGCTCACACCCCACGCGGGCTTCTCCTTTCTGCTTTGTTTCTGCACGTTGCTGATCCACACGCTGTCGCCTGCCTTGGCTGGTGTGGCCCAGCCCTAAGCAGGTGTGTCCCTGACAGTGGCCAGTGTCCCCAGAGCACCTGGGAGGCCGTGCTGGCCCCCTGTAGCTGTGATAGCTGTGCTGTCCCTGCCCTTTGAGCCCTTGGAGAGTTCTGGGTGGTGGTAAGTGGACGGTCCTGTGGCCACTTGGACGAGAGCAAGAGCGTGAAGCAGTGGTAAACCCTGCAGAGTCACGACGTGTGGCCGCGTCCACGTTGCATTTCTGCCTTTGCGGTTGCTCATTCCAAAGCGGCTCAGGACAGGGCTTCTGGGTGTGTCCCCTGTGTGCCGAGCCCCCTGGACCTGGCACCCCCTGCCCAGGCCACAGCAGAGAGCTGGACTGGAAGAGGAGCAACCGGGACAGAATCCAGTGCCCTGACCGAGACTAGAACCCGGCGTGCCGGCGCCGCAGGCAGAGGATTAGCCTAGTGAGCCGCGGCACTGGCCTCTGAGTGGTGTCTTAACCACTGCCTCAAATGCCCGCTGCTGTTGCCTGGAGGATCCCCTGGTGGCCTGGGAGCCCTGGCTGCCCTGGCCCGAGGCTCCTCTGGCCTTCCATGCTTGGACCTCCTTCCCCTCTCGTCTGGTTGCCCCGCCCCACCCCTCCCCGCCCACAGGTGGACACGTGCTGTGACAGCCTCTTCCTTCTCTCTGCCCCTGGAGTGTCCGGGAAGCAGGAAGTGTCTCCTTTGTTCGAGAATCTGTCCAGGGGCCGGGAGCTGCCCAGTAGGCCTGGGTCAGTTCTCGTTGAGTGGGTGAACAAGTGAGCCAATGAGGGAGGGGAGGGGCTCCCTCAGGGCCGTCTGTTTTCCCAGAAGAGCGGAGGAAAGACCACAGGGGTTGTGTAGGTGTGGTCCGTGTGAGGCGCTGTCACGGACCTGCTCTCCGGCCTGGCCATGGCCTCAGCCCTGCCCGGCAGTGCGTGCTGACCTGGCCCAGGTTTGTTCCTGACTGCGCAGGACAGACACGGGGCGTCTGCTGAGCCCTGGTTTCTGTGTCTGCTGCGCCGCAGGGTTGGGCTTTGCTTGATGCAGGACAGCATTTGCATCTGCTCTTTGCCAGGTTACTTGTCCTGCTGCCGATTCCTGGATGACAATCAAATCGTCACCAGCTCTGGAGACACCACATGGTGAGTACTCAAGCCAGGCCTGCGGTGCCTTGGGGTCATGCTCAGAGCCGAAGATCTGGACCTTAGCTGGACCGTTCATATCGTCTGAAATGGCCTTGGGGTTCAAAACACGGAGTGACAATGGGTGGACCAGACACCCTGCTTGTGGGAAGTGCAGCTGTTTGAACTGCAGCTGTGCATCAAGTATCTGCTGCTTTTTTTTTTTTTTTTTTTTTTTTTGACAGGCAGAGTGGACAGTGAGAGAGAGAGATAGAGAGAAAGGTCTTCTTTGCCGTTGGTTCACCCTCCAATGGCCGCCGCGGCCGGCGCACCGCACTGATCCGAAGGCAGGAGCCAGGTGCTTCTCCTGGTCTCCCATGGGGTGCAGGGCCCAAGCACTTGGGCCATCCTCCACTGCCCTCCTGGGCCACAGCAGAGAGCTGGCCTGGAAGAGGGGCAACTGGGACAGAATCCAGCGCCCCAACCGGGACTAGAACCCGGGGTGCCGGCGCCGCAAGGCGGAGGATTAGCCTAGTGAGCCGCGGCGCCGGCCTGCTTCTTTTGTTTTTATCTCTGCATATTTCCTTTTTTTTTTTTTTAAATTTATTTATTTGAAAGGCATAGGGGCCAGTGTTGTGGCATAGTAGGTAACATCATCACCTATAGAGCTGACATCCCATATGGGTGCCGGTTCGAGTCCCGTCTGCTCCACTTCCAATCCAGCTCCCTGCTAATGCACCTGGGAGAGCAGCAGAAGACGGCCCAGTGCTTGGGCCCTGCCCCAGCATGGGAGACCCTGAGGAAGCTCCCAGCTTTGGCCTGGCCCAGGGCTGGCTGCTGCAGCTGTCTAGGAGTGACAGATCTCTCTCTCTCTCTCTCTCTCTCTCTTTCAAAAAATAAATAAGTCTTAAAAAAAAAAAAAGCATAGAGAGACAGAGACAGAAGAGACCCTCCTTTGCAGGTCGCCCCCCAGCTGCCCACAACAAGCCAGGGGGACAGGCTCAGTCTGAGTGGCAGGCACGCGAGCACTGGGGCCGTCAGCGGCTGCCTCCCAGGAATGAGCGGAGCTGGGACTCAAATCCAGGCGCTGCAGGGTGGATGCCAGCGTCCGGGCAGCGTCTCACCTCCACCACTCACCCACCCCAGCTCTCAGTTCTCCCTCCATGGGTGCTGTTTGTAGCCCTGGGCGGGGGCCGCCGCTCTGTGAGGCTGGCTTCTGCTGCAGATGTCAGGGGGTCTTGTTCTCAGCCTTCAGTTTTCTGGAAACGCCATGTCATAATCTCTCGAACTTTTCCATTTGTATGTAAATGACCAGCATTTAAGTCAGAGTTATTTTAGACAAACTGCCCTGGTGGATTTTCTTTCTTTCTTTTCTTTTCTTTTCTTTTCTTTTCTTTTCTTTTCTTTTCTTTTCTTTTTTTTTCTTTTCTTTTCTTTTCTTTTCTTTTCTTTTCTTTTTTTTAAGACTTATTTATTTATTTGAAACAGTTACACAGAGAAGGAGAGGCAGAGAGAGAGAAGTCTTCCATCCACTGATTCACTCCCTAATTGGCCACAATGGCTGGAGTTGCACCTATCAGGAGCCAGGAGCTTCCTCTAGGTCTCCCACATGGGTGCAGGAGCCCAAGGGCTTGGGCCATCCTCCACTGCTTTCCCAGGCCACAGCAGAGAGCTGGATCGGAAGGGGAGCAGCCAGGACTCCAACTGGCGCCCATATGGGATGCCGGCACTGCAAGCAGTGGTTTTACCCGCTATACCACAGCGCCAGCCCCCGGTGGGTTTTGTCATGGCTTGGTGGCCAGGAGCTGTGACTCATTTGCCCAGTCACAGGGTCAGTACGGGGCCCACGTCACCTGCAGGCTCCTGCCTCCCTCGGCAACAGAGGAGTTGGTATCACGAAGTGTTGGCCATGTTGACCTCATAGATTTATAGGACTTGGAATCCAGTCAGTCTCGCGGGACTGTAGGATTCTTAATGCACCCTTAGGCCTGAGTCATTTCTTCCAACTCCAGTGTGGGACTTCCTTTCTGCAGTCCCCAGGCCCTAGAGAGGTAGCTCCTGGGCAGTAGATGTTGAAATCCTTGGACTGGGTTTGTGTTCGGGCTGAGCCAGGTTTTCTGGGAAGCTGAGATGAAGGCGCGGTTTCTGTGGTTGAGGCACAGACAGCCCATGACTGGCTTTCGAAGCAGACGCCTGCCCTGTGCAGGTGCTGTTGCTGTCTCACCTGTGGCCACCCTGAGTGGCCGTGCCACGTCCTTCAACAGGTTTTCTGGAAGTCCAAGAGGGGCAGCGTGGGGCCCTAGAGTTGCTCTGAGCTGTCTGCTTCCCTAGCATTGTCCCTCGGCTGCAGGAAAGCACGGAAGTGGCCGGCACTGGGAGGCCCAGGGGCCTTGAGGAGCAGCTGTGGGCAGAATCGGCTTCTCTCCCTGGTCCAGGGCCTTGGTCAGCAGCTTCCTGCTGCCCACTTCCCTCCACACACCTGTCTAGGAGCCCGAGCGTCCTTTGTGTGCGAGATTGCAGGGTGCAGGCAGGTCTCGAGCAAGCCCTGAGGTACCCGGAGTCCTGGCTGGTTGAGCAGGTGACTCTTGTCTGTGATCTCAGCGCCATGCCCCCTTGTCCGTTGCTCCTGTTCCAGTGCCCTGTGGGACATCGAGACCGGCCAGCAGACGACCACATTCACCGGACACACTGGGGACGTCATGAGCCTGTCTCTGGCCCCTGACACCAGGCTCTTTGTCTCTGGTGCTTGTGACGCCTCAGCCAAGCTCTGGGACGTCCGAGAAGGCATGTGCCGGCAGACCTTCACGGGCCACGAGTCCGACATCAACGCCATCTGTGTGAGTCTGGGGGCCGCGGCTCGCTCCGTGGTCTAGCCTGCAGGCTGTCAGCTGCTTTTCCTCTCTGCCATGTAAATGCTACCTGACTCACAGACTGGGGTGCAGGAGACTCCCGACGTGACCCCAGCCAGCTGCCCGTGTGTCAGCCATTGCTCTCGGGCATTGGTGGCACGGCGGTCCTGTGACAGGCGCTGTTCCCACCCCTTGCAGGCCCCGGCGGGGTGTCCTGGAGCCGCTCTGGCGTCCTGAGCCCCTTGGCTGAAGGCGGTGCTCCCGCCTTGCAGCCCCTGGAGGTTCAGATGTGTCTGCACGCGTCTGCTGTACTGCAGGCCCACCGTTGTCCTGCTCAGTCCCTCCCTCCTGCCTGAGTTCAGGCCGAAGGCTGGTGGCACAGAGCAGCCAGCTGACCACATCTCACTGTTGGGCTGCAGTGAAAGCTGCTGTTTGGGGGCAGCGGCCGTGGCGTCCCCACCCTGCCCCAGTCCTGCCAGAGCCCAGCCCTGCTTAGCCGTGTCCGCGTCGCCGTGTCCCTGAGCAGTCACGTGCTGCCATGGCTCTCTTCCTCTTCTAGTTCTTTCCAAACGGCAACGCGTTTGCCACCGGCTCAGACGACGCCACCTGCAGGCTGTTTGACCTCCGCGCAGACCAGGAGCTCATGACCTACTCCCACGACAACATCATCTGTGGGATCACCTCGGTCTCCTTCTCCAAGAGCGGGCGGCTCCTCCTCGCCGGGTACGACGACTTCAACTGCAACGTCTGGGACGCGCTCAAGGCTGACCGGGCAGGTAGGCGGCCGGGGCTGTGACCGGCACACGTGGCTGAAGCGGTTAGGTTTGTGTTGCTCAGGCTGTGCGTGACGGAGTGGTGGGAGGGGGACGTCCACCACGTCCAGGCCCTGGCCCCTGCCAGTGCTGGCTCCGGGGGCATGAGAAGCTCCTCCCAAGTGCACGTGTGAGGAGAGGGTGGCACGGCAGAGCGGGGCCCGACCCTGGGCGCTCCCCTGAGCTGCGGGGCTGGAGCGTGGTCGGGGGCAGGCGTGCTTCTGTGTGAAGTCTTTGTTAGATGCATGTTTTTATTTTTTAAATGAATTAATTTATTTGAAAGGCAAAGTGACAGAGAAAGGGAAGGAAATCAGAAGGGGAGAGAGAGAGAGATCTTCCACCCACCAGCTTATTCCCCAAATGGCTGCAACAGCCAAGGCTGGGCCAGGCGGAGCCAGGCGCTCCATCCTAGTCTCCCTGTGGGTGGCAGGGGCTGAAGCACTCGGGCCATCTGCTGCCTTGCCGGGCGCGACAGGGATCTGGGGTCAGACAGGGGTGAAGCACTCGGGCCGTCTGCTGCCTTGCCGGGCGCGACAGGGATCTGGGGTCAGAAGCGGAGCGGCTGGGACGTAACACTGCGGCAGGGCCGCCCGCCTGGCCCACAGCCCAGCACCACCCCGTGCACGTGTTGGTTTGTTTTTTTTAAGTTCTATTTATTAGAGAGAGCGTGAATTCCTCCCAAATGGCCTCGGTGATCAGGGCTGGGCCGGCCGAAGCCAGGAGTCAAGAGCACCGTCCAGGTCTCCCGTGTGCGTGGAGCAGTCCAGGCACCGGGGCCGCCGTCTGCTCTTCCAAGGCACATTAGCAGGGAGCTGCAATGGAAGCGGAGCAGCCGGGCCTGAACCGGCTCTCCCGGGGCGCCAGTGTTGGAAGTGGGGGCTTCAGCGGTGCACCACGGCGCTGGCCGCTTACTCAAGGGCAGCACGGCGTGCTCAGGGCCAGCACGTGTCGCAGTGCGTCACTGTGTCGGTGCCTCTCCCCAGCCCTTCCCCCTCTTGGTGACCGACTCAGGCCGGGCCCTGGAGTGTCGTCTTTGCAGAGGAGCAGGGTGCTG